CCAAAGAATTTGAGTTTCCTCTTCAGGATCTGGCCTTCTAAAGAGCATCCAGGGTTGAGCTCCTCTAGGACTGGCTGGTATGATCACTTGCAGACCAAGGGACTCGCAGGAGGCTTCTCCAGCACCATAGTTCAAAGGCCTCAATTCTTTGGCGTTCAACCTTTCTTATAGTCCAACCTTTCCAGCCATACATTGCAACTGGGAAAACCATAGCCTTGACTATAAACACTTTTGTTGGCAGGGTGATGTCTCTGCTTTTTAGTATGCTGTCTAGATTTGCCATAGCTAGGAACAATCCCACTCTATTGTGCCTTGGTCAGGTCATACTTCTTGGACTATTCCCAGTTCTGGATGGCACACTTCCAAAGGAGCAATTACCAATTGGGGATGGGGGGGGGAGCAGGACAAGAAATAATGGATAGAAACTAATCAAGGAAAGAAACAACTTGGAATTGAGGAGAAACTTCCCAACATGAGGACAATTAACCAATGGAACAGCTTGTCTTCAGATATTGTGGGACTGGTCTAGAAGATCTCCAAGATCCCTTCCGGCTCTATTCTGATTCTGTCGCCATCACTTAGGCTGCCAGTCCGTGGAGCCAGGAAGTTGGGGAACTGCTGCTGTATATAACATTGTCTAACTCTGTACAAATTAAGAAACAAAACACTCACTGATGCTGAAGGTCCAATTCAGGCCAAGCCCCCATGGAAATCAACTGTTCTTCCAGTTGGATGATACGCAGACCAATGTAGCCCGAAGAACAAAGTAGGAGAACGACCCTACGGGAAATGCAGATAAAGCTTGTTTAAAAGTCAGCATTGGGAAAAGAAGTAACATCTGAGATTATTCCTAACTCAGTCTTGAAAGCTGTAGTGTAGTACTAAAGACGTACAAGATCCAGACTCTAAAATAGCTTGAATAATAAGTGACGAGAGCAAATTGGTTTTTAGTCTTCTACTAGCCGATAACTCGGTGATCCCCAGATATTTATTTATAGGGGGGAAATCTACAGACCAAATGTAATTTCTAATGTTGGATTTTCCCCTTACCAGAGGGAGCCCCCTTGTGAAGCCGTTTACAGCAGTACAGTAGAAGCCATTTTAAGGCACAACAGGTTATATCTTAACAGAACACCACTCTGCCCGAGGGGTGTTAGGAGTGTCTTACCCCCCACAGTATTTGTTTCCACAGAGTGTACCAAGTTTCCATGTGTGTACCAAGTTTGGTTGAAATTGCTCGAGATATTCCAGTTATGCTGGAAACAGATTCCAGCTAAATATTACAAAGTGCTTCCTAGTTATAGCAGTAGACTTATATACCGCTTCATAGGCCTTTCAGGCCTCTCTAAGCGGTTTACAGAGAGTCAGCATATTGCCCCCAACAATCTGGGTCCTCATTTTACCCACCTCGGAAGGATGGAAGGCTGAGTCAACCCTG